GTGCATATTAAATAAACAAGAAATATAAACAACTGAAAACAGAACAGCTTCAAGGTATTTTAATGACTTTTTTACTCAAGCTATACCATAATATTATTACTCCATCATTCAAAATTGCCTTTATAATTATTTATTTCATTAATTGAATAAAAATTGTTAAAATTAGAAGTAGGAATGACTAAACTATATCACCCTGTTATAAAGTTTTTCTATGATAATATTTACAGTGAATATTCTTATAATTTAACTAAAAATATATGTACAACGAAATATTTAATAGGTACAAACACGTAACGTGCTTTATATATTGGTGGAATGATAAAACGATAGCGGACAATTAAAGAATTTAGCGACAAAATATACTTTAATACTGTGTTTTACGAGCTGTAAGATTTTGCAGCATTTTGACAACAATAATTAATTTGGAAGTTTACACTTAGTGGAGTGCTTTAAGCCTTTATGTGAGACAAACCTCGGAATTCATTTACTGTGAACGATTTTTTATAAAACTTTTTGCATTGTATTGTTAATAAGATATATTACAAAGTTTACCCATTTAAATTCGTTGCTTTCGCTTTAGTATTTAAATAAACATACATATACAAATGCATATATAGGTACAAGCTGGGCTCCGTATTCCGGAAAAGCTCTGTATCAGGATTCCTATTTGAGATTTACACACCAAACCTTTTTTTTACAAAATTTGTGTTTATGCTAGTTCACACTTCAAATATATTTTTATAGATATACAGGGTGAGTCAAATATATATATATATATATATATAGTTCAGTGAATTTGCTATAAATTCCGGTTCCAAAAATACCTTAATACCATAGAGTATACTAAGTGGTTTTTGAATTATGTCCACGTCCATGAAGACGTCAATCTAGACGTCCAGGAACTTTCGTATGAGAACTTCTAATCGACACGATTGACTTATTGTAAGTTTATCGCTAAGAAACCCCCGTTTGCCAATTTTCAAATTGATAATGAATTGCAATTAAGGAACGTACATATTAACTAACGGACTATAAGAAGAAGATTAAATGAAGCAAATCTTATGTCAAGAAGGCCTGCTTCGAGACCAGAACTTACTAGATGTGTTGACTAGGCCCAAAAGCAAAGGCATAGTCTTAATGTAAAAATTACGGAAAAATGTTAGTGTCTTCTTCAAAAGCGAATATTTCCAACAAAAATAAAGCTAATGAGATTAACCAAAAAGCAAACCATCGAGAAAGGATGTATCTAGATAATAAAATGACTTTTAAATTTCTTGCTTTTTTAACATATTCCACAGGGTGTTTCAAACTTTCACCAAAATATCAACATTTTGTTTTCCCTCGTATAATTAACACAGATTTAAGAGTTTCATTTTTAATTTAGAAAAAGATACTAAAAAGTCAAATAATTTGGCTACACACTGCTTTAGAAATCATCAAAATCGGCCCATTAAAGCAAAATATATTAACCTTTAAAATACATCAAAGTTTTAAGGTGCCCATTTTTCGTGCCGGTGAATATATTTCAAAAACTATACATTTTAGTCATATACTTTTCTAACGAAACAAACCTTTATTTTTTTACTAGAATCCAAAAATCAATTAATATATAGGGTGTTCCATTACAAAAAACATAACTTTGACGTGTAACTTTTTTTTGGGGACACCCTGTAGAACTCTACATAATTTTAGAAAATGCTTTAAATTGACTTACATAAGCTAACAAAATTTCACTTCAATACAAACTTTTGTTCTCTTTGCAAAAACCGCGTCGTATATGACGCGCCACCCTGTATAATTCGATTTCAATCAAAATTTCAATGATTAGAATATAAGCAGAATAGATATAGTTTATGCATTAGATTTATTTATTTCAATAAATTTACTTAGAAAATGAATTAAAAAATCAAAAAATTAAGAAGGAAATAATTAAGAATTTGCTAAAATTACTAAAATAAAAAATTAAAAGTAACGAAAAAAAATGGGTAAACATTTTAGTATTTTGTCTGTAAAACACAATACAGAAGGTTTCACATTATTAATCCATTCACAGTAATTGAATTCCGAGGTAAAAGTCTCTGGGCACTCCACTAACTAGTCTCAAATTCAGGGAACTTGCCAAGTACATTATGGTAAATACTATACTCCCCTAATTAATAGAGAAAATATATTGATTATATGCACTAATTAAAAAATAATTGAGCCCACTCGTTAAGTTGCCTTAATTTGAAACTAGTTAATTCCACAATATGACTTATATTCTTATATATCTTGATCTAAAAATAGTCACGTTTCTTACAAACATTTAGATATACCAAGGTATTCCAACACTTATAAACTTTTAATTTCTCATAACACCAATAAGATTTATTATAATAATAATTGTACTCTTGGGAAATTCATGCAATAAATACATATATATTATGAATTTATCATTTATCTAATCATATTTAGGACTACGATGTTAATTTCTTACACCCAATAGGAACGTTTTCTTTATTTGGTTAATACACTTTTAAATGCTACTTCGCGAATATTGGTAGCAGCATAAATTATTTGGTGTATAGAGATAATAATATAAGAACCCAACTAAGAAAATAAGATAATAACGTTTAGTAAAAAGGAGGTATGATAAGATGTTTTTTTTTTAATTTATCATACCAAATTATATATTTTTCATAATATACGCCCAGATGCAAAAAAACGCAACTGAATTTTTTTTGGTCAAGTTGTAAAATGTTATTTTTTTTATTTTTAGCCCTATATCCTTCATTTTCTTAGCAAACTGTTTATAAATATATCAACTTTAATTCGTAAACTCAGTTTTTTATAAACTTTAGTATTTGGCTTATTATACCAGGTGCGTCTCAAAAGTGGCTCACCCCCTATAACTTTTTTATTTTTTCAGATAAAACAACGATATTTGGTATGTTAGTATATGACATAAAATGGGATTGATTGACGCATTCAATTGTTATCGGTCACTTCCGGTTTCACTGGAAATGAATACAACTTTTGATTTTTAAATGACATCTTCGGTATTTTTTTACTTTATTCGATAGAAAATGACACTCTGAATCGAATGACATATCATATGTCAACTTTTGACATTTTGGCATATGGTTTATTTGAAATTGTAACATGCATTTTCATAACGACAATTTGACTCAAAATACCAAGTGTGTGGTATCAAATTATTCTTAAAAAAATTCTTTTTCCAAATATGCTAATGAGCCACCCTCGTTCCATCTGAAAAAATTGAGATATGAATAAAAATACGATTTCAGCATCTTTTAACCGGCCAAGACAAGACGCTAAAAACATTAGACGATCAAATCTATTTTTCCAGGCTTCTTGATTAAAAATTAATGTTTTTAACACAGCCATGGCACTCTAGATTGAAATTTTAAAAACATTAGACGATCAAATCTATTTTTCCAGGCTTCTTGATTAAAAATTAATGTTTTTAACACAGCCATGGCACTCTAGATTGAAATTTAAAATAGAATTTGTTTTTGAGTGACTATGTCAAAAACTGACATAAGATATGTCATTCGATTCAGAATGTCCTTTTCTATCGAATAAAGTAAAAAAATACCGAGGGTGCCATTTAAAAATCAAAAGTTGTAGTCGTTTCCGGTGAAACCGGAAGTGACCGAAAACAATTGAATACGTCAATCAATCCCAATTTATGTCATATACTAACATACCAAATTTCGTTATTTTATCTGAAAAAATAAAAAAGTTATAGGGGTGAGCCACTTTTGAGACGCACCCGGTATAGGGTTGTAGGATGTAGAATGTAGAATGAGTGAGAGGGGGGATTATATAATCACTGCGACCTTAAAGATCTATTGTGCCCCCCTTCCTTGAGCCATCACACAGTCTATAACCCATCATACCTCTGTTGTAGAGGGGACCGGGTATCTCCATCCTCCTCTGACAACACATGTTCTTCCTCCGACGGTACACACCCTTCCACAGTTGAAGTTTGGCCCTCCGTGCCCCTCACAGTCGAGGAGCTTGCCTCCGGTGAGGTATAGGCTGGAGAACTGTCTCCATTTTCTCCACCTCTTTAACTTGGTATCTCCTTAGACCTGATACCGAGTCAGGGTTAGTCGAAGGGTTGTTCTTTAGCTTAAGTTTAAAACACCCTGTTCGATAATTTGGTGGCAAAATATTCATAAAACATAATTTTTTGGTCAGAACCGTGTCTCCTGAATATTTTGTTTTTTGACTCATATGTGATTCTTCATAATGACGAGGTGGTTTTAGCGATTATTGTTGTGTACGATTAAATATGGCCCTTAGTGTCGAAGACTGTACTATGTGTATTTTGTGCATTGGTCTTGTTGAAGATGACCGAAAATATGAATATTCGCTTGGTCTATGAAGAAGAATGGGAAAACATACCCTGGGATTTGCAGCATCATTAACAGTATGAACCGACATCGATAGAGAGTCATAGCAAGAGTTATATCCAGGGGAGGCAATGCAAAGTATTAGAACATTTTTTGTTTGTTCGTACACTTAGTTATTACAGTTATTTTTTTTAGTATCCTTAGTTTTGTTAGTGTTACTTATATTTATTAAAACCAAGTCTGTATCATTACTTTTTAACGATTTGTTAATTTTTCATATAGAGTTCTAATCAGTGTCGAAATGACATTACGACAATAGTCACCAAAGCCATCTCGTGATATTAAAAAATAATATCTTAAAGTAATGATAGCTAGTTAAAAAATTGCAAATTGTTGGTGGCAAGTTCATTTCGCTCTTAAAAATTAGCCAAGGCATGTGTTGACATGAATCAAAAAACAAAATGCTCAGGAGACATAGTTCTTATCGAAAGATAATGTTTTAGGAAAAGTTACTCACGAAGTTATTGCACAGGGTGTTTTAAAGTTAGGGTAAAAAAACCCTGTATAATAAGCTAAATACTAAAGTTTAGAAAAAACTGAGTTTATGAATTAAAGTATATAAATTTATATACAGTTTGCTAAAAAAATCATGAAACCAGGGCTAAAAATAAAAAAATATAGCACTTAAACCAAAAAATTATTTTTCGTCAAGTTTAAAGTGTTACGTTTTTATTTTTTTTTGCATCTGAGTGTAGAATGGTGGTAAATAACAATGTTTTCACTTTAGTAAAGAAGTACATTTAACTTTTTTAATTAGAAAATATTAAAGAAACATTAAATAGCTGCCACCTACCCCACTCTTTTCCACAGCCAACCAGCATTTCTGATATTTACCTTCAATAATCTTAATTAAATAGCTATACAGTAAAACATACGATCATTTAAATTTAGACAATACCATAGCAGTATCAATATTTTCTAAAGTTTAGTAGTAAACATTGAATTTGTATAAAAATATAGTAATTTGAATATTTCAGGCACATTTTCCTATCATAATTTAAGGTCATATTCAATAGATACAGAATATTAATTTGCTTCAAAAATTTAATATTGCTGTGCTATTGTCAAAAGCAATTACATATTTACAAAGAAAATTTACTTCAATTAACCAAACCATTTAAAGAAAGAAATAACAGTAAAATAAATATTATTTAAATATCCTTAGAAGAAAGTCATATACATAAACTAAATTGGATTGATTTAATAAACTATAAAAACAATAACAAAACTATTTGGTCCCTAAATCACAAATATTACTCACAGTGATATTATATAACTCCTTCACCCTATTTAAATCGAGACGTTCCAACTTTACTATGGGTTGAAACTCATCATTCTCATCGCTCACATTACTATGTCTATTTCGCTTAAAAATCATCTTTGGTAGGCCGTCTTTGCCCAAACGATTGTAGACTGAGTAATCCTCACTATTTTCGGCAGAAACTTCACTCTTTTCACTATCACCATCCACATCTAATTTTCTTTTGCTGCATACTTTTTTAATATGCAGTTTCATTTCACTTAGATCTCCATTACTAGAATTTTTAATTTCGTATGAATTTTGTATAGAAGTTGTATGATTGTCATCCAGTAAATTACTAGAAACTGTCGTGTTTGATGTGGGACTTATAGATAATTTATCTTTTTTCTGTTGCTGTATATATCTTTTATAAGATATTATTCGTTTGACCTTGTCCATTTCACTTAATGACATTTTTTCGTTGTTCAGAAATCTTTTAATTAAATTGCTGGATTCGTAGGGGTCTACAGTAAGTTTAGGTTTATTTTCCGTATTTTTTTCTAGAGTTTGTGTTTTAAACTTTGGGATCTGAATGTTAAGTGAATTTAATTTCGAATGAACTTTTTCTTTATATTCTTTCAGTTTTACATCTATGGAACTATCCTGCGAGATAAATTCATTAACATCGATAACTGATTTTTTACTATTAGTTTTAATAAGGCCACTAAATTCTCGTATAAGGCATTCTTCGCTTGATTGTTTGTATTCTCGTTTGGGCGATTGTGAATCTTCCCAATCAGAGGAATGTATTACAAATGACGTTTTCAAATCACTTAGTGTCTTTGAATTTGTAGTTTTATACCCAGTTTCTAGATAAATAGAAAATTCGTCATTTGAAGTATTACTATCTCTTCTTAGTTCTTTATCAGGACTCTTTTCCTCTGTTGAACTACTCCTATAATTTATTTCCTTTTTTCTCCTTTTAACATAATCTAAATAGCTAATTTTCCTTTTGCCTACCGGTCCGTTTTCCTCTATTAATTCTGAAACACTAGGCACTATAATTTGATTTTGTAATGGTTTTGTTACGGGGTTATTTTCTACTTTGACTTCCGAAGATGCCTCGGATGAATATATTGTTTTTTTGTCTACACACTGTACAGACGTTGTAATAGCCGAAGATGTCGATGTTGGCAAGTCTTCGGAAAAACTAACTGATTTTCTGAGTATCTTTTTTGGTATCAACTTGATTTCCTTCTTTTTGTCTTCTTCGTTACCTGCTTCCGTCTTACTACCTAACTGTTCTGTACATTTATAATCTTTCTCGATAAATTCCCCCTTATTTAATTTTGAATTTAAACTACCATGAGAAAGTAAATTGATATCATCTTCACTTTGTAAAGTATCTTTTTCAATATTCGTAGTATTTTGATCTTTAGCAGGAATGTGATCTAAAGACAAAGGTTGTTTTTCTTTTGAAATACTACTGCTAACTTCAATAGATTTCATTCCCTTGTCGGAATGTTCATTTTTTGGCGGCTTCAATTGTATTTTTTTCTCTTTCATTTCTTCCAGCTTTCTTTGTTTCTTTAATTTTCTTGCTCTCAACAATTCCTTAAAATCAACAAATTCTTCATCAGTTTCTGTACTATTTTGCTCATCAAATTTCAGTTTCTCTTTGTTTTTCACTTTGTGGATAACATCTTTAATAATAGCATTCCGTTTAACGTCCATTTTGCTTGACTTTCTGTCATTCAGATTTAACGGGACTTTTACATATCTAGATTTTTTTTTAGTCTTTTTGACAACTGATTTATTAGATTTAGAAATATTTTTGTGAATTTGTTCCTTTCTAGATGATGACACTTTATCATGAGGAGTAGTAGGTCTTTTGTTAATTTTTATACTAACATCCCCACTTGTTGTTACAGATGGTATCTGTAAATCCATATCGTAGGACTTCTTTGCAGCTTTGGTTGTAATAGCTGAAGAACATTCTGTCGTTTCACAATCAACCGAAGGTAATTTAATATCTAGATAAATATTTTCTTTACTATTAGTAAAATGGTCATCTAAATTAGTTGATGTAGGCGATAATATAAGTACCTCTGGTTTGGAGATTCTCGTGTCTTGCTTAGAATTATTTGACCTACAATTTTCATTAAGTCTGTCTTCCTCAGAGGATGTTTTAACTGTCGCATTATCACATTCATCATCCTTTTCAATTACAGGAGATGTATTTTCAGTGATATTTTTCTGGCTTTTATCATCTAATGAATCATCATTAATTATATTAGTTGTTGTAACGGGTTCTAATATCAAATTCGTGTTATTTGATCCATCTACTTCATCTAATAGTCCAATACCTTCCAATGGATCGCTAACCACAACTTCATGAGACAAACAATCTGACATGAGTATATTACCTTCATCTATAGGGCATTCCAGCAATTCTATGTTTGAACTGGATTCTTCAGTTAAAATGATTTCTATTTTTGGTTCTAAGTCATCATCTTGAATTTCATCAATATGTTTACTATCAATTATTCTCGGTGACAAATTATTTGAATCACTTTCAGCAATACATAAATCTTTGGAAATTTTATCAATACTATCTTCGATAGTATAACCGTCTACTAAGCTCTCCTTTGAAATAACTGCAATGTTTAGCGTATCTTCTGTAATTGTAAGATCTTCTTGAATATCTGAATTGTTTTTGTCACAAGTAGTATCCTCCAATTGCAAATTTTCCTCCAGAGTTGAAACCTTTTCGGTGGAATTTTCAAAATCCTGTTCAATAATAGAAATAGGAGATTTATCTATTTGACTATTTACTATATTTGATGAACATTCATAATTGTCATTAAAATCTACTACAGTATCCTCAGAAATAGGCAGAACTGTTATTACTTTTTTTCCATTGACAACATTTATACTTATTTCCATAAGTTCTCCAGCAATTTCCAAAAGCACCGAAGATTCCTCAATTGATATTGCTTTTCTATACTGAACATTATTCGTTGGAGAAGTGACTTCTTCAATTTCATTACTGTTTGAAGACTGTGAAGATTTTTTTATTCCCTCGATTTCTTGTTGAGTTTGGTTGTTGTGTGGAGATTTTGAGGGATCAGTAGGATCTAAATCTTCGTTAGTAATTAATGTGTCATTTGTATCAATTCTTTTTGCAGATTTTTGTTCATCTTTATTGACATTAGAGTAACACTGTAAAACATCCTCCTTAAATAAAGTAGAATCATCATTGGCGACTATTTGATCTGCAGTTATAGTATCACTATAACTGCTGTCTAAAACTGATTTTTTAACTTCTTCATTTACGTCCTCTTCATTATTTAGTTTCTGACTAAAATCCTGAACAGTATCAATAGATTTAGAATTTAGTGTCTTATCGTCATTTTGTTCAAGTTTACCATAATTTTCTTTTTTAGGAGATAAACAGGTATGCATTTCAGTATCAGCATTTGTAAGTGGTGAATTTATTTGATCATCAGAAATAGCTTTACTAAGTTCATTGAAAGTGTTTTCAGTTGCAATATCCGCACTTTTTTTTAAGTAATACTTCTTATGATCCACTATCAATAGCTGCTCTAAAGACGAATATGAAATTTCATGATTAATAAAATCTGTGAGCGTTTCGGTACTACAACTAACAGAATCGTCATTTAAGACTTTTTTCGTATTATTACCAATATTGTATATTATATCGTCTACCGAAAATATCCTTTTCCTTTTTCCAATTGGTTTTGAGGTGGTATTTTGATTAAGATTTATTTCGGCAGCCACGTCAATGTTATATTCATTGTGATCAGTTTTTATATCTAGATTTAATTGTTCACTTGCTTCACTATTAGTTTTAAGAATACTTATATTTGTGTTTTCCACAAGAACAGATAATGAAAAATTTTTAACATTATTATCTTCGCCAACTGAATTGTTTTTGTCATCCAGTTTTTCTCTGTTGCCTTCATTCTTGCAAATTTCATGTTGGGTCGAACAATGTTCGGTATCTTCTAATTTATTATTAATGAGATCATCAAGACTAATTTCAGTTTGCTTCTCAGCATCTAACTTTTCTGGTGTTAAAGATTCAATAAGGTCCTTATCAGTGGAGGAACTAACATTATGTGTTATCTCGGATTGAGTTAAACTGGTATCGTTTTTGTGGCATTTATTTGCTGAATTTTTGGATGTGCTGTGTTCATCTTTTGTGTTCTCTTCCTCCACTTCATCAGGAACTTTATTATGTTCTAAATTAGATTCACCAAAAAGATCTATGATAGGCATACTTTTTAACTCAGGCGATTTTACGTTAAAACTGTTTAACATATCTGACGTTTCAAATGAACTCGTTTTATAACTATCACTGGTATTTGAAGGTGTTACTAGTACCGATTGGTCAGTTTCGTCGTTGTTACAATTCAAATGATCTAAATTGATAGGAGAACAGTTTTTATCAACTAATTCTTTTGTCACACAAATACCAGTAGCTAAATCTTTATTGACGCTATGTAGGTCTACGTTTTGTTGTGTTGGTAAGACTTGTTTTGCAGAACTAATTACCGTGTTTTGATGAATTACAACTTTTCTGTTATTTTCTTCCTTCTTTATGGGCATCTGCATAATTTCAATATCTGTAGTTTTGCTGTTTTTATTAACCATCATACAATCTGATTTAGCGCTCTCCATTATTTGTAAATTAACAACTCGCTCGTTATTAGTATTAGGTTCCATTATCCGAACTATTCCGCTATTATCGATTAATCCATTTTTAAGCAAATACTGATAATTTTCTGACGTCTGAAAGGAAAACCAAATTTTTTTATTGCATACAAAGTTATAATTTTATAAAAGTTCAACTGATTCTATTTTTTTGCTGCTTTTATTAATACTTCCAAATAATTTTTAACAAAATAGCTATTTATGTAACAAGTTGCGAAATGAATGTGTTTTAAGCACTGGACGCAATGGAAAATGCGTCGAGTGCCCAAAACATTTTTTTTCGCAACGAATTTCATCTAAGATTTTTTGTGAAAGCGGATAATTTGAGATTTTCATGCTATTATGCTATATTATTATTATTATTTATTTTTAAACATTTTGTAAAATGTTCTGGTAATCGGTTTCTAAGGCATTGTTTATACATTGTTTTTTTGTTTTGTTTTTGTTTAATGACAAAGTTCTGTCAGGTTCAAATGTCGCCGTATTTCCTACAAAGTTTTGTGAAAAAATGAGTGATAATGACGAGTCTTTGGATATTCAACAAGCTACTGGAACTGCGCTATCCACGTTAGTGCCCGAGAAGTCAAAAACTTATACGAGACCCCCTACAACAACTTTGAAACCTGGGTCAAAGAAAAACATATTGACAATTTCACAGAAAAGCTATTGCTAGCCTATTTCCTGAAGTTATCCACTACCTTACTGATTACGATTTTTGAGTAGATGGTATCAATTTCTTACATGTATTTCGTAAGTACGCAAAACTTCGACCACTCAATGTGACACATCAGCGATTTTTCTTGACGTATCGAAAAAATCAATGCTGTACCCTGCCAGTTGAAATCAATACAATTGGGGGTATGCCAAAAAAGATAGTGGAATTTCTTGGACTCTCCAACGCCAACACTGGTCATTGTTTCCGGCGCAGCTCTGCAACAATGCTGGGAGATTCAGGAGCGGACATAACAGTTGTAAAGCAACATGGAGGTTGGCGATCAAGGTCGGTTGCTGAAGGTTACATTGAAAATTCAATTGAACAGAAAACCGAAATAGCAAAAAGAATCATGGGATAGAAAGATACGCCAAATAAGAAATTAAAAGCAGTTCACGTAGAAGCCGAAGCTACTACCATTGCCAATACAATAAATTTACTTATTCCGACTCCTACAACTTGCATTTCTCTTAGAGACGAAAAGTTGGATGCCTCTTGAATTCACTTTAATAATTTAAATAATTGTACCTTTAAGATTGATAATAAATAAATATTTTCATTGTTTCTAACGTTTCATTTTTTAATTTTAAGCACTAGTGCGTAAACAAGTGTCACTTTTAGATACTAGGGCCTAAAAGAATGTCATTTCGAATCTCAAATAAATATAAAAAACTGTCAATTTCGAAACGCTTTCACAAAAACAATATTAAATTATCAGAATAATAAAACCAGTTGATTAACCTATTGTACTGTTAATAATAAAAATATACACACCAATTGTATACCTCCACTATCAGTGGTGACCAAAGGAATTCCATTATTTTCAAAATATTGCACATCGTTTGCGTTAATCATGTAAACAGTTTCAGAAGGTGCCTCTTCACGTGCTTTTTCTCGAAGAGAACCTGCTTCAATTGAACCTGCTTCGTTGTTTGGTTCTTCCTCTGCCCAATTTTCTATAAATTTCTTTAAGCTGTCTGAGGGGGATACACGACTTTCTGACATTTCTTGCATTTCCTGACCTAAAAAGTATTATATTATTAAATTATTATTATTATATTATAACGGTAATTATTGGAAAAAATGGAAATCGTCCTTTTTTTTCAAAAATGTGTATATACCATATTTTGAGGCCGTAGGAATACGAATTTAAAACTTTTCTTGGCGATCCCTTACCGTTTTACAGAAAAATGACAACTCAAGAGGAAGAAAAGTCTTATATACCTAATTGTCATAATTTATATTATTTTATTTCATAAAAAATTCAAGTGCGAGTCGGACTCGCGCACGAAGGGTTCCGTACCATACATTATCTATACAACATAGACACTATATTATTATAAACTTTTTTTTCCGATTTAGCTGAAATTTTGAATGGGCGTATAAGTAATTAAAAAAAATGAAGAAACACATTACTAAAAATTGTATTAATCAATAATAAATATGTAAAAAGTAAAAATAAATATGTAAAAAGTAAAAATAAATATGTAAAAATATGTAAAAATTAAAAAAAAAACATTAAAAAAAGTCGCCTTGACTAGGATTCGAACCTGCCTTACTACGGCTCCAACGTCATAGCAGCGTAAAGTCCTAACGCTTTAAACCACGCGGCCACTGAGGACTTGAAAGATTCTATGTAAAATTCTTACTTAAAAGATAATATTTAGTGAAATTACTTTTTTATTTATAAACATTTATTTAATTCTATTTTTAGTATTTGTTCTTATAGCGGCAATATAGATACATTATCTGTAAAAATTTCAACTGTCTAGATATAACGGTTCATAAGATAGACCTTTATGACAGAGGGACGGACGGAGAGCGAAATCTTAGTAATAGGGTTCCAATTTTTACGCTTTGGGTACGGAACCCTAAAAAAGAAAAAAAAAATTCATAATAATTTTTATGCTCTCCATATAGAATAGCCTTGTGGTTGGTTGCATATCTTTCCGTGGTTATAAAAAATAATTTTTAAGGAATTATAAGGTTTGAAAGTTGATTTTTAACTTTAATAGTGTAAAATAAATTCAATGGATATCAAAATAAAATTAAAATATATGTTTTGATATTTTGACGTAACCAATTTACCTCCTTTTGTTTCCTAGCCTACCACTATAATTTTTAGACCATATAATCCTAAGGGCCAGCCTAACATGATTTGTACTCTTAATATCTCCGGTTAGAGAGAAGATAGGAAGTTGCGGTTTGCGCTGATATTTTGGAAAATTTGTGCCCTATTTAACTGTACAAAGAGAAATATAGCCTCCTATTTAATTATGTTATGCAAAAGCGCAATATCTGTTATGATGTCAAACAGAGCCCTCTAGCTACCACGAAAAAATATGGAAACGAAATGTATACTTCAGATCATTAAGGAAGAAAAGCTCTTTTAAACGAGCCCTAGTCTGTTTAAATTGGCTAACCTACACCAGAGTTATCCTTATTTTAATAAAACCAAGTTTAACCTTCCCCCACCACTTTATTTTATGAGATAGAGCAAAACACTCTATATCAAAAAAATTACAAATTTCTCGATGATTACAATAGTAATATTTAAAATACCTGTCCACCTGCATATTTTTGAGAAAAACCCTGTTTTCTGATTGGCTATCAGAGAAACGCTCCCTAGCGGACATTTTTCGAACTTGAAAATAATTTCCAACGATTTCTTTTGGTCGATTTACTTATTAGAATTTTTTCCCAAAGTTATACGATAAGTGGTTTCTGGGATACAGCCGGCGTCCATTCTTAGTTGGCCACCCGGTACGTAAAAAATGTATATTTACCTGCAATTTGATGATGGTTTTGAATATATTGTGGAGGTCTACAAGACGGAGGAAACATATCTTGTGGAATTCTTCTATGCTGATAATGCTGTGAATATTCTGGCCCACCATATTGATTGGGATAGTTATGTGGTGGCGTAACTTTTGGGCCAATATTATGACAGGCCATGTGAGTCATATGTATGTTTTCTGGATAAGCTCTTCTTGAAGGAGACATGCTCCTTTCCATATGAAACCTAGCTGACATAGCAGACATTTGGCTGTTCCTAGGATAGTTGTAGGGCGTAGAAGGATAGTTGGCATAATGAGGCGTATTCATTGGATACGTTGAATTGGGAGAATATTGGTTTTGCTGGTACATTGGTCCTAAAATTAAGATTAGTTCTAAATATTTGGATTCAATTTACATGAAAAAGATTTGGAGAGTAAAAAAGATCCAATTTAATCAAATATCTACTAACTACAAATGTATTGAAAATTACCTGGGTAGTACCTATGGTTTTGTTGAGAATATAAATTTCTTTGGTCCATTGCAGGATAATTTCCTTGTGTATCTTGAAGATGATGGTCGCTAATAATTGACCTGGCCATCGAGGGATGTATTTTACTAAGTTTATTTAAAAATGGATTATCTGACGGAGTAGGAGTGCTATATTTTCTCATATTTTGAGCCATAATTGGATTGAACTTATGTTGCATTGGATGTGTAGACAACTGTTGATATTGATGTTGTTCTTTTTGAAAAAAATGAGCTTCAGGCTTGAATCCCGATGGGTGAATCTATGAAAATTGTTAAACACATGAAACATTAAAAAATTATACGATTGCATAAAAAAATACTTAAATCTGTAGTTAAATTTAATTTACCAAAAGAGATTAAAACTTACTAATTAAATTTAATAGAAAATATTTTTTAAAACTACAAACGCCTTTTACTTATTTAATATATTTTTAATCGATATGTACTTCAATCCGGAATTATCGTTTAAAAAAGATATATTTTGATTTTTCATCGACATGGTATGTTATTTCAAAATTTTGAAATTCGCTACATATGTCATGCAATTAGGAAAATGCTTTAAATAGAATTATTTAGTTTAGAGCCTTTTTTAAAAATATAGATGATTCTACAGGGTGTCCCCAAAAAAGTTACGTATCAAAGTTGTTTTTTTTGCAATGGAACACCTTACATATTAATTGATTTTCAGATTCTAGGAAAAAATAAAGGTGAGTTTTATTAAAGAAGCATATGTCTAAAATGAAAGAATTTTGAACACATACTGGGTGTTCCAATTAAATAAAAGAGTAACTTGCTTTTAAAAGTGACCAATGTTCAATATTAATTTTATCTCACCCTGTATAACTTTTTGGGTCAAGTTTTAATTTGATTTAAAAAAAAGTACAATAGTTATTTTAACTATATATTAGGCTATACCGGGAAAATTCCAGTTTTTTAAAAGAAAATATCTAGGAAAATCTTTGTTTGAGGGGTAGGTAACCTTAATAGTATTTTGAAGGGACATTAATTTTCCACTGAATATCGGAATAATATACTGGGTGTTCTATTTAAAATAAAAGAGAAACATGCTTTTAAATGTGACCAATGTTCAATATTAATTTTGTCTCACCCTGTATAATTTTTTGGATCAAGTTTTAATTTGATTGAAAGTATAACAGTTAATTTAACTAAATATTAGGCTATACCGGGTAAATTCCAGTTTAGGTAATTTTTATTGAAATTTAAAAATTATTCTTTATTGTTTGAAAATGTTAAATATGTCAAAAACCTTGCATTTTAGTCATATACTTCCCTAATAAAACTCACTTTTGTTGTTCTACTAGAATTCCAAAAACCAATAAACATATAATACCAAAAAACACAACCCTAATGTGTCACTTTTTTGGGCACCCTGTAGAACTCACAAAATTTCATTTCAATTGAAACCGTCGCTCTCCTTGGAGCCTCCGTGTTGTATGAGAGGCGCCACCCTGTATATACGACCAGTTGACAGACACAGAGAATATATCTAAACTATTTAATAATGATTAGTTTTGTTATATAGTTGCTTGGTAATATGGTAAAAAATATCTTCAGTCTCTTTTTACAAACAATCAAAAGGTCGGTATTATCAATTTACCTGAGTTGGATCTTTATGTAGGTACTGCGAGTTTTCATGTTGAAACTGCTGATGATTTGGTATATGATTGGAATATGTGGGCTTCATGTGAGGTTGCTGCATGTTACATATTTCCATGTAATCTTTGGATTTCGGTTTTTGTATCACAGATGCGGACATTAAATTAGGCTGCGAATGTTCAGCTGTGTCTGAGTATTTAACTTGCGGACTGAAAGAATATAAAGTATACTCTGAGTATACTAATTTTTGCATACGAAATTTAAAATAATATACTGACTGAAAAAAGGAGAACACCTATAACATCTATTCATAATATTTTATTATTCCTGGATGTACAGGGTGGTCGAAATTGGTCTGATTTAACAAAAAAATCCTATTTCCTGACTAGATACAGACAAAACCGACATAGATGTAATGTACTCGATTTCTGACACATGCTTAATGGTATAAACTACCTGTCCTGTCCATATTTTCACTGCCAAATGAGATACGGTTTTTTTTTAATTTTCCACCAATTTGAAAAGTGCTCATAACTATTTCGCGGAATAATACAATTCTATAACAATATTCTTAAGGCGCTTTTTAAGCACAATACAGTGGCGTAGTCCATTTTGTCTCTATACTTACTCTTTTTGTCAGTTTTGTTAAATAGAAATCAGAGTTAGCTATGAACTTGAAAAAATTCCATCGTTAAACTCTTTCCAGCGAAATAATTTACTTTTAAAAATGAGAGAAATATTGGTGTTTTATCTTTATATCAAAGAGGGCCTTGATTTTGTGGTGTTGACCTATGTGCCTAGTTATTTTTTACCAAATTTCAAATTGTATATTATTATTTATCTGCACAATTAAACATGAAAATGTAAATTAACAATTTATTGTACTATTACCAACTACAATTAAAATTGACACAATAAACAAAGAACAAAACTAGAAAAATATATTTTTTCGGGTAACGAATATAGTTTTCTAAAAAAATATTCAACAAATGTGTTCAAATTGAGCAACTTCCTGTTGAATACACAGTAAGTATCTTTTGCGCACTGAGTTACAGCTAGCTATCTATTAGCTAAACTAGTGTAATAAGTCCAAAAGCTTGCCTAGTAGCTTCCTGCAATTATTTCTTCGACCGTCCCAATAGTTTTTATCTTAAATATCACGTCCTTTAATTTCCCCCATAAAAATATTTAAAGGAGTTAAATCGGAGGACCTCTAGTAGGCTAAGATATGGTGTTAAAACAGACCAATTTCGACAACCTTGTATATGGCGGCAACTGCTGCTTATGCCTTATCTATTGAGTTTTCAGCACTATGACTTAAAAACTTAAAAGAAAATCTGACTCAATTGACTCGATTTCTGACACACTGATTTAGATGATTGAGCATAATTAGGTGGTCGATCTCCTCTTGGAGTATCCCATTCCAGGCTGATTCAACTTCATGTATAAGAGCTTCTAAAGTCTGCAGCGAGTGTTCTACCTTCGACAGCTATCGGTCTATCATGTCCCAGACATGTTGAATGGGAGACAAAATAGGGGACAGCGATCTGGGCAGCAATTGTAGACGGTTAAGGTGGTGCTGATTTATAAGGGATAGTAATGCTCGACTTGCTAAGAAGTTTACTTTAATTTTTACTTTAATGCTCTGACTAATGCCCGAAGTAATGCTTGCCTTGCTGGAAGATGTATTTCTGGATGTGGCTAGACCACTTCACGGGTGTGCATTCTCTCATGAAAACCAACGTGGATCTGCTAAAATCGCATCCCACACCATAAAGCCAACAGTGTGATGGACATGACATTCTCTGCCAAACTGTGGATTGCGTTTTTCATAGCATTGCGTCTTCTCACTCCTGCCACAAAATCATGCATCCCCAAACAGAAGCAGGAACCTTTAACAAATACCACATTATTCCATTCCTGGTCCCACTGAATTTTCTTCCCACACCACTCCAGGCGGTTACGCTGATGTTCAAAAGTAAAAAATGCGGACGATAAGGAAGAAGGCCAAAACCTCGTAGAAGGCTATACACTATGCGCATACCAATTATACAGGGTGGTCCGAACTGTATTCCGGAAACTTCGGCAGCATATTCTGCAGACAAAACTAATTAAAAAGTTCGTATACATATATGTCCTAAAATGCTTAGTTTCGGAGATACAGGGTGTAGAAGTTTCATTTTTATTTCGATTTTTTCCAAATAATTTCTGAAGTAACGTCAATATTTGGATGAAAATAGGTGGATGGGTGTTTTTTGACATGAGAAATTTGATTTTGATGTCAATATGACTCCCATTTGTAGGTGGCGCCACCTGCATGTGTTTTAACTGTTTTGAAGAGTAATAATTTTTCGTCGGCACCTGTATAAAACTACCGAGTAAAAAAATATACATTTACGACTTTTTTAACATAAAAAAGGTTTCTTGGTAAAAATCGCTATGAGTAATGGTCAAGATATTTTGAATCGAAATTATCAATACCTGTCATCACTGACATAAATTAAACATGTTGACTAAATAGTTATTAGACTGAAATCATAAATTTGACATCTTTTTGTGTCAAAAGTTCAAAAGAAACTGTTTAATCATCATTTTTTCGCAGAAAAACATATGTATATATATTAAAAAAATAAAAATGTATTATTTCAGTCAAATAACTATACTCAACGTGTGCTTATTCTTTGTCAATAATGACATGTATTGACTATTTCCATTCTAAATATCTTGAGAACGATTGCTCGTAGCGATTTTTACCAAGAGACATTATTTACATAAAAAGTCATGGAAATGAATATTTTTTTAGCCAGTGGTTTTATACAGGTACGGTCGAAAAGTTATTACTCTTCAAAACAGTTAAAACACATGTAGGTGGCGCCCCCTAGAAATAGGAGTAATTTTGACATCAAAATCAAATTTCTCGTGTCACAAAACTCCGAGATACCAATTTTCATCCAAATATTGACGTTAATTCAGAAATTATTTGGAAAAAATCGAAATAAAAATGACACTTCTACACCCTGTATCTCCGAAACTAAGCATTTTAGGACATACATTTATACGAACTTTTTTACTTATTTTGATCTGTAGAATATGCTACCGAAGTTTCCGGAATACAGTTCGGACCACCCTGTATATGTATTGATCGCCAGTGCAAGCAATTTTATCTTTGAAAGCCAGAATTCTTAATCGACGATCTACAAACGCCGTCGTTCCTCTGCTACGTCCAGACCCTATCGCTCTATATCCTCGCCTTTTCTGAGTCCACGATTACTGACAACGTAGTATGACGGTTAAAGATCAGTTGGTACTTCTGAAAATAGAGATACTGGAATATTCAAGATATAAGCCTCAAAATTTAATCGCTTTTTATTCAAGGCGAGTAAAAATTATAGAATTCCAATAAACTTATCGGTGTTCTCCTGTTTTGCCATTAAATCAAGGCCAAGAATCATAGTATCATATAAAATTTCTACTCGATACATACCTATAATCGGAGAACTGGTGTGTCGGATAACTGTAGCAATCACTGGACGCAGGCGGATAATGGTTTTGAGGCGCTACCCGCGCCACATGAGCCTCAGACACCTGTTTGTGGCCTTGTTCCGATTGCGCTTTGTCTACATCTTTCTTTCTGAACTGCCTAAGAGAGCTGGTTGTTGACCCACCGTTTGGCTGTAACAAAATATTTAATTACTAATTGAATTGGTATTATTTTTGTATGAATATACACCCAACTAGCAAATATAGTTCCCAGTCCTCTTTAAAATGTCACTGCCCCTAAAGTACAGTTCCTAGGCCCACTCTTCCACTTACAATATTACTCTATAAGGAATAGTCACCTTGAAGTATATTTCGAGAGTGACCGGTTAGTACCTACCATAAAAGTGGAAAATAAACACCCCGATTGCAAGTCGCAAACATGTAATTTAAAGAAGTGGCTGGAACTACCCGAATCTTCGAATATGACACAATAAAAGACCAAAAACTTTAAAGTAACTTTTCAAAGTAGGGGTTACTAACAAGTGCTACCATAATGCCTCCATTAAGTTTTGTTACTTTATAGTTTACCTTTGGATTTTGGTCTGAATTTTCTAATTGGATTGGCATTATTAATTTTGTTTTATATCACATTATAACGACAATTTGACTCGAAATACCAAGAGTGTGGTACCAAATTATTCGCAAAAAATGCTTTCTCTAAATATGCTAACAAGCCACCGATTTAACGAGTTCGATTTGAAAAAAAATGAGATATGATTAAAAATACGATTTGGGCATCTTTTAACCGGCCACCAGGACAAGACACGAAAAACGTTAGACGATCAGATCTATTTTTCTAAAGCTCCTTTATTAAAAAAATAATGTTTTTAACGCAGCCATAACACTCTAGATTGAAATTTAAAATAGAATTTTTTTTAAGCGAAAATGTCAAACGTTGAAATATGATATGTCATTCTACTCAGAGTGTCATTTTCTATCGAAGAAAGCAAAAATAGGGTAAGTCCGGTAGAGATGCCCCACTTTTCTTTTGGGGCTAATAATACATATTGGTAGTTAATTTTAAATGAAACTAATGATGCAATCCTAAACTATCTATAATAGTAATTCATAATAGGACTAAGATAGTATTATAATAAGTAAGTATATATAATAGTAAGAAAACAATAAAAAAATAGAAAATTGTCTAGCAACACTTCCAACATGGGAGAAATGCCCCGCAAAAGAATACGTTAAAAGGTGAGGATGGCCCTATGCTTGCTTTTTCTGTGTTGTTGTTTGCCTCCCTACGTCTCAAAGTCCTTGCAGGGATTCCAAAAGCATGCATTATGCTTTTATGCCCATTTGGTCGGTATTAATGGCTTGCAAAGCAGCAGCCAATGATTTTTCAAACTACTAAGCGCTTTTGGGACATTTTATTTTATATTCAGTAAGCATGATTAAAAAAAGTTACTTTTTAGTAAATGAATTAGTAGGGCATCTTTACCAGCTTTCTATGTGGCATCTCTCCCAATATGATGGGAGAGATGCCCCACCGCAAGGTTTTAAAATGCAGCGACATATGATTAATTTTTTTAAGTTTTGATACTTCACGAAGCATGTATTTTAATATAAAATGGCATAAAATACCAAAAACTTTCATAATATTACGTTATTACCACGCGACCTCTGACAGTAAAAAAATATGTACTTATATAAAAACAGTTCTTTGTAAAAACTAGCCTATTTTTTTATTGGCATTCAAATTATGTCAGACCATAATAGCAGCAGGTAAACTACTGCCGTATCTAGCGGGAAGCAACTGATAAGTCACATGATTAGAAATTTACACGTTGTGGCCATCTCACCCGGTGGGGCATCTGTACCGAACTTACCCTATACCGAGGGTGATATTTAAAAAACCAAAAGTTGTAGTTATTTTCCGGTGAAACAGGTAGTAACCAAAAACAATTGAATACGTCAATCAATCCTAATTTCATATACTAATGTACCAAATCTCGTTTTTTGATCTGAAAAAATAAAAGTTATAGGGGTTAGCCAGTTTTGAGACGCACCCAGTATAGCTTTAATTCCAATACCATATCTAGCAGCACTAGATCTAATACTTTATCCTGATTCATTTCGATTTGTGATTTCAGACTTTTGTTGTGTGCTTTCTTTTAAACTCGCGTGCTTTCTTTTGAATATATGTTGCTAGACAATAAAACAGCTGTAAGAAGTGAACTAACAATGAGTTAAAAGAAAATGCTGACTTCTCTGCACTAGCTATCTGATTTTTAAACTGAAAATCTCTAGTGCCTCCGGATTATTGATAGTGGTAAGCAAATATTTCAGTCTAATAGTTGTGTTAGACTTGGTCTTGGTCTTGCAGCAAGACACTTGCAGGTCTAGTACTTTTTTAATGAATTTTTACTAAAGACACTTTCTACATAGAAAATCTTGGAATAAATAGCACAACAAAGTAAGTAAAGTAATGTTTTAATTTTTAAGTAATTTAATACAAATGAAACATCAGACAGAATATTTATCCCATGAATCAGAAAGAATAGTTATCCCAAGAATATTTTTCTTTTTTAATATACAGCGTAGTCCGCAGTGTAATCGAAAAATTTCGGCATACATTTGGTGATAAAAATAAAAACATTCGTATAAATGTCCTCAAATGCTTCATTTCGGAGATACAGACTGCAGAAGGGGGCAGGCGAGGGGGCAGGGGTAGTTGATAGTCGGTATTAGTAATAAATTTATTATATATCTTCTTTTTCCTTCATTTAATCAGCAAATCTGTAATATTTTAGGTATTATCAGAATAAAAATTATGAAAAAATGTTAGTGTCTTCTTCAAAAGCGAATATCTCCAACCAAAAATAAAGCTATTGAGATGAATCCAAAAACAAACCATCAAGAAAAGATGTACCTAGATGATAAAATAATTTTTAAATTCTTTGCTTGGTTAACATCAGAGTGTTTCAAACTTTCATCAAAATATCAACATTTTGTTTTGCCTCGTATAATTAACAGATGGAAACTTTAATTTTTATTTTAGAAAGAGATACTAAAGTCAAATAATTTAGCTACAAATTGTTTAAAAAACATCAAAATCGGCTAATAGAAAAAAATATATTAAACTTTAAAATACATTAAAAGTTTAAAGTGTCCGTTTTTCGTGCCAGTGAGTGCAAATTGTATTCAGAATCATCAATTAAAAATTCAAGCCTTTTAGAATAATATATAAAGATATTAATCAATCTATTTTTACTTTGATATTAGTGATTATTATAGAATTATGTACATAACATATTATCCAATGTCAAGGTCTATGTCCATGTGGTACTTTTTTTATCTATAATTAGTAGAAACGTTTCTAACCTTCAACTTAATATATTACCTTCGCTATAAAAAACTAATAACAGTGGTTCATCAGCTAATGCATTTGGTTTGAAAATTTAGCATTGCAAAATGATTGTCTAGCATTTATTGAAGTACAACATGCTTATATTCAATAATAAATTCGATGTAAGGTAAATTGTTTTATTAATTTACACTATATATTGACACACGCACATATTGTTTTACTACATCAGCATCGATTGTTGAAGTATTATATTGGGGTTACGATAAAATGCATGCACACCGATACTTGTGGGGAAAATATATTTCCACCAAGGATAATATTCTGCATTTTTAAGGTCTATAAGTCTAAAAATGCAACACCCTATTTTTTATTTTATTTTTAGATTCTGCGTAAAATTCCATAACTTTTTTTATATATAATGTTACATACCCAAAATTAATAGTTTTTGTGATATCTAAAATTTGTTTAAACAAATGTTAGATTGCAGTGTGATAAAAAATTGTCAGTGATGACATTGTTTCTTAAGTTGGACAAATAAAATTTAGTAGGAGAATTTTATAGAGATATAGAAAAAGACCTATGTAAAGGTATTTTAGTTAGATGCTACAGGGTGTTCAAAATATATTTATGAATTTCAACTACTTAAAATTATGAAATTTCAAATTTTCTAAATGGTACACCCTATATATTATCATTTTTTTTATAGATTTTACAAAACTCTTCAACTTTTATTGAGTATGTCATATACCTACTTTTAACAGTTTGCGATTTATTCCAATTTTTTCTATTTTTACCCATATTTTTAATACAATTACGCTATAACATCATATTAGTTACCATGACAAAAACTAATAATTATCAAAATGTTTGGTCTGTCAAGCAAGTTAAGAACAAAATTGGAATTTTAGTTTAATTTGTTGCAATAGTCATGGTAATTATGATTTTATAGGGTAATTGTATTAAAAATATGGGTAAAAATAGAAAAAATTGAAATAAATCGCAAACTATTAAAAATAGGTATATGACAAACTTAATAAAAGAATTTTAATAAAAGTTGAGAGATAATATATAGGGTGTCCCATTTAAAAATTAAGATTTTTTAATTTTAAGTAGTTTAAATTCATAAATATATTTTGAACACCCTGTATCATTTAAGTAAAATATCTTTACATATATGTCTATAAAACTCTCCCACCAAATTCTGGTATTCCAACTTCAGAAACAATGGCAGCACTGACAATTTTTTACCACACTACAATTTAACATTTGTTTAAACAAATTGAAATATTACAAAAACTATTAATTTTAGGTATATAACATTATATATAAAAAAGTTATGGAATTTTACGCAGAATCTAATAATAAAATAAAAAATAGGGTGTTGCTTTTAAAAAACATATACGCACTTTTTTGAAGCACCTTGTATATTCTAAAATAATTTTAAAATATGTATCTTAACCTTCCCTATAACTGTTATATTTAATTTTTTTTGTGAACCTCGAAACAAATGAGATAATGGACTTTACGCTATCGTTGATTCACCCTTATACAGTTTGAATGCTTTGAGTTTAGAACTAAAGTTGAGTTAAAAATAATTTTAGTAAGGGTGTTTTAAATTATTTCCTTGAGTCATTTATATCACATTATTAGATTTTATTATACCTTTTATACATATATTTTGTATAGTAGATCTGTATATTTACAGATAATCCTTACTGGGTTATTATAGTTTCCACAATACGATGTAAATCTACTTTACGTAATCTTTGACCGACCCTGTGTATAAACTGTTGAAGGCTAATTGGTAGTTTGACCAAAT